CGCAATCAGGCCCAAAGGGTTGTCCTCCGCAGATGGGGCTGTGGCACACTGGCTGGTGATCCATGCCTCCATGCTTGCGGCTAAGTCCTGGTGTGATGTGAAGGCCAGCCGCACTCGTTGGTTCCCTGGGCCTTTGCTCTCTGGTCGGCACAGCAGCAGGTGCATGACCATTGGCTTCTGATCCGATGGTGTTTGCATGGCAATCTCCGTCTTAGCAATGTATGGCATGGTCCCATGGTCTACATAGATGCAGTCTAGGCGGGAGGCCCCGGTGCAGGGTACTCTGTAGAAGTGGGTGTAGTCGCAACTGTTGGGGTGCAGCTGGCGGTGGCTGTCCACCATGGTGGGGCCTGCCTCCCTGAGTAGGTTTGCTGTAGGGCCATTCCCCCGTCGGCCCCCTTCACCAGCCATGGAGTCCAGCCCTGGGTTTTCCACAAAGTTGAAGTCACCTGCCCATATGAGAATTGTGTCACTGTTCTCGGCTGCATGCTTGGTTGTGGCTGGCAGCATGGTTGTGAACAGCTGTTGTCGGAAGGGATTCACTTGTGCAGAGGTACCCGTGGGGCCATAAATGTTGCAGATGTGGATGCGGTGTCCTCCCCAGTGTATTATACAGCTGGTGAATCTTCCTCGGACCACAGGAATGGGCGGCGGGTTTTCCACATTGGCAGTCAGATCCCGACGGACTAGGATGAGAACTCCTGCTGTGTGGGAAGAGTTGGACCACGAGTGTGCAGCCACTTTCCATCCCCTGGTGTGCATCGCCTGTGATGCCATGTTTAGCTCTTTGTCCAGTCGACTCTAGTCATGGGCATTAGTATGGTGGGTCTCCTGAAGGCACACCACATCAGGTCCCATCTCTGTCCACAGCTTGGCCACCGCATGTATTTTTGAGGTATGTTTTGCTGTCATGCCTTGCATGTTGTGTGTAGCTATCCGAAGGGGGTGGCCCCTGGTGGCTCCCGGTGGCTGTTGGGTATGGCTGACAGGAGAACCCTCTCCGGGTGGGGATTCTGTCTCAACATCGGGCTGAGTCACTGTGGGGACTTGGAGAATGAGGCTGGGAATTTGGGAGCCTGCCTGGGATGAACCTGGGTCATTGGCTTCTTTCTCTGTTGCCTCCGGTACCTGCCTTGTATCTGCCTCCTGCCCCATAACGATGTCTTCTACCGTTTTTCCTGTTGTAGCCTCCTCAGCTTTTGCCATTCGATTTTTTCGGCTGGCCTGCTGTATGTCTCCGTGTCTCTGCTTTCCTGCCTCTCGGTGCCTGGCTTCCCGGGCCTCTTTAGCCTGCCGGGCCAGCTCTGCATTCTGTCAGCCTCGTAACGCGAATTTAACGCGACGTAACGCGATCACCCGTTGTCATAGTGCTACGTGCACCACACCCGAAACAACGAAAGGACGTGAGACAAACAACACAGACAAAAACGCACTGCAAGCAGAATTAACGTTAAATAATAAGCAGCAGGGTGTTCGCATGGCGGCATGATGGCATACTACAGTACGGTATCAAAATGTATGGATGTGGGACTGCGGGCAGCTAGCAGGGTGCAGCTAGCAGGGTGCGGCGTGCAGGCGGGACTTCAAAACACATGCTAGATGCTAAAGGGATGCCGGTGCCCTACGCCGCGCCCTACGTCACAGAAGTTAACGTGTCGGGCACCGTGCGAGTGTACAAGCATATGTAACAGGCACGCACGCATGCCGCGACAGAGCTCGCTCGGCACGCACCTGCCCCTACCCTTGTTAACATCACCAGTAAACGGACTGGTGATCGGCGGCTAGGGCGGCCAAGTAGATGCAAGCCGCAATAGCCAAGTGTATACAACGATGGCGGTGGCATCGCACACCTTAAAAATATCAGGAGCGACCAAATAATAAACCAGCGCGACTTAGATATGTGCTTAGAGTACAAACACATACACACACAGGATTTTGATCGATATGACGCCCCTCCAATGACGGGGTGCTTCGGCGGTCGTTCCCTATGGGGTATGGTTAGGTGCCCCTGGCCGGCCAGCGCCACCGCCGGATCAATGTGCAGCAACAAGGTGCATGAAGCGACGTTCGTTCCCTAGCCAGCGGCGTTCTAGCAGCCCATCATGACAATCCTTCAGATCCACCAACAGTAACACGAATAATTCATTCATTCAAGTTCATACATGCTATATATGTTGTGCGAGCTACAGGTCGGAGCCCGCCACTGCTGAATGCGCCGATCTAGACTAGACTAGGAAAGCACGCGCGAAATGGCAAAAGTTTGCGTCTGGAAATGGCAGGGTGATGCCTCTGGATATTTTCCCTTGCCAGCCTTGCTTCAATCTAGCCGGTCAACCAATTAAGCGGAGCAGAGACTGATGCGCCTCCTGCCCGCCCCGTCCACCTCCTTACATCATCGGCTGCTGCTGCATTCAACAAATGAACCCGCGTGCAGCTGGCGTGCGCGCAAATCTGCAGCCGCAACACTAGGAGCGAGACAGCGTAACACACGTGCTTGACGGACTCCGCCGGTTAGCAAATCTGCATGAATGGTCCTACAAACGTACCTGATAGCTACATACGAGCGAGAACGCCGCCAGGGAAATAAAGTTGGATCAATGGATCCGGTCATAAGTTGCAACAACATTAACCGCAATGCAAAACAGTGATAGATTTCTGCATGTCCACAGCAGCGCTCCGCATATTTCAACGTGTTTCAAGGAGCGCATGTACGCGCACATGCAGGTCCAACAGACTAACTGTCTGAGATCGGCGATGACATTAAGTCGTAAAAATGAAACTGCAACCCGCCGTCCCCCTCGTCGTCGCAACTGTACATGATTATGCCTAGGCGGATTGCGCGCATCATTTTTGGATGGCACCTACGCAATTTGCGTGTCAACGTAAGTAACGAATTGTAGATAGATGGCCATCTGGGCTGGTGAATCCTCCTATTCACATATTCTTGCTCATATGTAAAAGCGGAGGTCCACGCGCACATGCGCGACGCATGTTGCTGCCAGGCGTACGTCAAGCGTGCGGCAATTATTAATACTGCAAATGTGTTGCAACAACTGACGACATCAGGCATGCATCGTTCTGCTTCCAGATTACAACCTAGCGTGGGTGTGCACAGGAAAACGATTCTTTCGATTCTTTAACGACGAGTCTGTTGTAACGAAGACAGTCTGCATGGTTTTAACATTTCTGCGTTATGCTGCCAACCTGTGGACGCTGATGTCCGCGCCATCGTCTTCAAAGTTCCCTGACACGCCTGCTGTTTGGAGCGGAGCTACCACAGCCTTCTTCATGCTGCGACTCGATGCAGCTGCGGGCATCATCACACGTGCAGCTGCCACTGCCGCTGGCTGATTTCGGGGCGACGACGGCGACGGCGGGGACGGCGCTCCCACTGTGCAAGCACACCAGCGAATAACAAGGAAGGAGTAGATGTACCGATTCGTCATGTGCATGAACAGGTGTGGAGCGCCAATCGCGGCTCTGAGTCAGACGACATCAAACACGTTATGCAATGGCTGAATCAGCAGGCGCGCGTGCCTGTTTTGCAATTGGCAGTAGGCAGCGGGCTGATAACGGTTAATCGATGTTGTAACAACGCGGCACAACCTACGGCAGATGTGAGCCCAGTTATCGATAATGTTAAATAAATAAACAAAACATTAATAAAATATCGATTATATAACGTAATACATTATAAATACCTTGCTCGCCCGCTGGCGACAGCTTCCCAGCGCCATTAGCAGCGCGGTCGTCGTCGTTGTACGCCTCCAGCGTCATGTCCTTGGCCGACTTCGCGAACGGCAACCCCGCCTTCTGCGACGGGCTTTTCTTTGTACCCATCGCCACCGCTCCCTTCTCCAAGCCTCCGTCGTCGAAGCTCTTGAGCTTTTGCAGCTGAGCTTCCATAGTAGTTCCTCCAAACGAAGGAACACCGCTGTTGTTCTGAACCCCGAAGGTTCCAGGAAGCGGGGGCTGCTGCTGCTGCTGCTGCTGCTGCTGCGATAACGGTCCCCAGCCGGCGGCTGGGATGCCGGAGAGCTCCTGCCCCTGTTTCTGCTGCTGCTGCGTTTCTGCAGCCGGTCGCCTGGATGATGCCATGGGCATGAGTGCCACAGGCCCCGGCCCCAACTGCTGCAGCTGCTGCGTCTTGGCGCTGTCGCCCTTGGCGAATGTCGCAGGGGTAACCCAGGCGACCGCTGGCGCACCGTCTGAAGACGATGTGCCGACCAGCTCCGCGCGCATGATGGCATCCCCGACGGCTCCCCCATCCTTCCGTGGAGGTATGGAGGTAGTCCACGTAGGTAGACAAGAAAAGCATGTGTCAACATGAAGAATGTAAACATACGACGTAATTCTTGGGCCCCACGCATAATGGGCCTTCACGCACGCGCATACACACATACATACGCACACGCGCCGGCTCTCAACACATATTTTTTACTCGCACGCGCTGCCTGGGTAACAGATAACCGGCAGGCTATGAGGCAATGACGACAGCCTGCCTACTGTTTCCAACCGGTACTAACTGCCGTACAGTACGGCATACAGAGCGTCGTTTGTAATACGTGTTAAAGTGTCCTGCGTTCGCGAGCACGTACGACACTAACCTTTGTCACGTAGGTGACGATGCCGCCGTTGGTAAAGGCAGTGACCGGCATGACGGCGGCTTCGGGATGGTCCATGTTATAGGCTCGGCTGTAGTGCCTGCAGTATACGGTGTCGTGCGGCAACGCGTCTGTATCAACATGTATAAAGCATCATTGATCTGTCCTTACGGATGACGAGCTTGCATGCGATAAGCCAAAAATTCAAAACCCTAGCTAGCTATCCTCAAAGCGGCTTAGGGGTCGTCGGTATTTCGTAGTACCCGCTACCACGTCACGTGCACATCACAACACTTAAGGGTCGTTGGTGTAACCCTCAACTCTACCGCAGATGACAGCGTCGCCCACTAACGCACATAAGAAAGAGACACACGGACATACATACGTACACACGCACCTGCTGATATCGAGGCCATTCAGCTCCTCCTCTGGAGGGGCCCTCAACAACTTGAGTTTCTGGGAGCGGCAGGCAGGCGCGCATATGCACACGGCCGGATGATGTATTTGTATCCCTCCTTTCGTGCTGAGTAAATCAACTATTAGATCACCTTGTGTATGTAGTAATATGGCCAGGAAATACATGCAGCCTAATTACCCGTCTTATAACATTGGAAAAATACAGAGAAGATTAGCGTGGCCCCTGCGCAAGGATGACACGTACAAATTGAGAAATGGTTCTATTATGGGCCATGCAGGCGCTGTGTCTCATCGCTGCATACACGTACTTACACTGCTCGGGCCAATGAGCTTCCTTCCCCAAGCCGTCATCGTTCGTGCGTACAAACGGTATACGTATCGTACATTTGCCAATGCCTGACCGCAGCCAACACTAATTATAGCTGCCTTCAGAGAAGCCGTAATCCACACCGCGCACCTTTAAGATCCAGAAGAACGGGAACATGACGCCCAGAGTCCAGCCGGCGATTGTTAGGGCACCAATCACTTGGCAAGCAAGCAGCCGGGCCCCACCACCATAGAACAGTCCGTGCGGATAGCCATCTCGTGTGTACGTTTGCATGATATACTCCTGATTTTGACATACACAAGGACGCACACGCAAGCATGCACGCAGATACGGGTAAGGAACTAGGCACGGGCCGCGCGGGATATATGGGATGGAAACCGTGTGTGCGTTGTTCCCTAGTTAGTAGTGGTCATGCCATAAACACGGATGGACCAGGATAGGAGGGCGGGCCAGATACCAGCTAACAAAGTTATAAAGCTGTAGGTTTTCTGAGTGACCAGGCTCGCCCCCTCCCACGGAAGCAAGCACAACTTTCCTGCCTGCAGGTACCCCTCCGTCTGTACGACCCCTAAGCGATAAGGCAACTACTCAAGAAAACTATGCCGATTGTTCTTAATTGTAATAGCTGGCCGCTGAAAATGCCTCACAAGATGCGGGCGGAGCGCGTGTTATCAACGACATACATGCTACCGTACTATCTACAGCTACTACATTAAAATCATGAAGCGCATTCCGAAGTGATCGTTTACCATGAAAGGAGCCCGAGCTCGATGCTGCTGGTTTATTTCATCATGGCATGCAAGCATGTCTACCTTCTTTGCGAGCAGTCCCACAAACAGGACGCCGTACGCGCCACAGCCACCGTGCATTGGCGCTGCTCCCAAGGGGTCGTCTGGGGAGCAGTACGGCACAAGGGCGGGCAATGACAGCCGTACGGCACAAGGGTGGGAAATGACAGCTGTACGGCACAAGGGTGAGCAATGACAGCCGTACGGCAGAAGGGCGGGAAGTAACAGCCAAACGGCACAAGGGCGGGAAATGACAGCCGGACGGCACAAGGGTGGGAAATGACAGCTGTACGGCACAAGGGTGAGCAATGACAGCCGTACGGCAGAAGGGCGGGAAGTAACAGCCAAACGGCACAAGGGCGGGAAATGACAGCCGGACGGCCGTCAGGCAGCTAGGTGGGCGGAAGCAGAGTATTATTTAGACAAAAAGGAGAAACAACGACATATCGTGGATAGGACGAGATCCAGGTAACCAGGTTTGTATGCAGGCCCACACAATACCAGTGCAGGCGTCCCGTATTGCGATGAATACATGTGCGATTATATCGTGCCCCACGCCGCCGGGCCGGATCATTATCACGTAACGCGGAACTAAAGTACTTGTATGATTTCTCCGACAGGGCGCGGCATTCCCCCCTTGCTTGGCCAGCGTCAGCTTAGTTAGTGAGCTGACCTTACGTGGCCGGTATCAGGCCCGCGGGCGTGTGTGTGTGTGTGTGTGTGTGTGTGCCTGTGTTTGTGTTTGTTTGTGCATGTATGTGTGTGTATGTGCGCGTGCGTGTGTATGTGCGTGTGTGTTACATTCTGAGTTGCATTACCCCACCAGTTACGGGAAGGGCCAACGGAAGTAGGGCAATTAGGTTGAGATAAGGTGAACCCTGACCTGAGAAGTATGTACGTACGTATGTATGTGTTGAAGCAGCTCAGCGTAATGAGAGTTGCATGCCTGCCCGGGCAATGCCGCGGGGAGACACAGACATACAGGCACGCGGGCAGGCAACCAGGCATGCAAGCAAGCAAGCGCTCCTACAGACAGGCATGCAAGCAAGCCTACAGGTAGGCTGCTTGTTGTTTGGGCGCGCATCAGAACAGGCAGACCGCTATGTACCGCAGGTACAGCAAACCTAGTTCATGTCACCCGCTCACCAATCCTCAGCTTAATCAGCAGTATGCAGGCAAGGTCGAAGATGATCCCTGCGCACGCATATACATGAGATGGAACAAGGGCGGCGCGGTAAATGTGTGCACTGCCGAAGTGTGTACGGAGGCTGGGGACGCACTATGGACGCATTATTATTATTGTGGTAACTGTATTGGTAACTGTATGTAGATAGTAGTCAGCAGGTCAGTAAGCCCGTAGAGAGCAGGACCTGTCTTCATGGTGCACTGATTACTTGCTGTTAGTATATCACGACGAATGTCAAATCCCGTGATACGCACAGGATGAAACACTTGCACTATTTTCCGTTAGCCCGGCATCAGCATCGGGCCGCTTGTACGGCCGGACGCTTGTACGGCCGAACGCTTGTACGGCCGGACGCTTGTACGGGCGAAACGAATCTCAGGGCGCGGAACCCGCACAATGGAGGACGCTACAGAATTTAAAAAGCCCCGTGCGTGAATGATAACCTGGTGAACCGCAGCACCGGTATCGGTGGCATTATTAATGGTTTGGTGTGCGACCGACGCAGCGAATGGCTAGGGTCTCTTACGGGCACTCCGTCCTGCAAACAGGCACGCACGCACCTGCGCCTGAGCCACAAAGTATGGCAGCCCAGGGCTCGTACACGTGGCATCCAGCGGTGACCGCCACAAAGCCGCACAGCACGCCGTTGCAGAGGGCGTAGAGGTCGAATGTCTGGATGCAGCGTCGTGAACATAGTCGAGCACTTCAAGCCAAACATGCTAAGTGACTACTGGGTGGACCTGCCCGGCATATGGACCAGGCGTCGACAGGACGGCTAAAGCAATAACCCGCAAGTCCGTAAGGACGCTGGGCGCTTACCCCAGCGCACACAGATCGACCTGTCTATTCTCCCAGGCCTTACTCGTACGTGAGAAATGAGTTAACAAATGTTAGATCGCTCTGATGGAGCTAGCTAGCATGTCGCGCGTCATACGACTGTAGCATCGAACAAAACACGTGCGTACGGCAGACCGCTACCCCGACACGTCCCTGCACTGCCCCCGCCCCCTCCACATGTGATTCGTATGGCTCGGAATACCCTTCAAGTTAAGGCAATGCCACCTACTAAAATTCATCCAACCCATACGCCGTGTACATGCGTGCACCACACACCCGCGTTCCGAGCAGAGTCCATGCAAAACCGTCAACACTGGCCGCTTCCCTTCCCTAACCCCCATTCCTCTCAACAACCCCACCCGGGCTCCCCTGCATGTTCCCACAGCCATGCAATACAGTAATCTACGTACCCGCGTTCTCAGCAGAGTCCAAATAAGGCAGCCCACACCGCCAGCAGCACCCGCCAGCGTGGTAGTGACAGCCGACCTTGATGCCACGTCCGCAGCGGCTGCTGTATCGATGAAGAGCGTAGACACAGGATTGAACCCGTACCTGCGTTTATTATTTCACGGCATGCACGACAGCAGCACGACATGTACAGCGTACGAGATGCATAGAATGGACGACACGGTATGACATGTAGAGAGGACATGTATAGAGTCTACGGCATGGTGCTGTGCGAACACAACCGCCGAAACATTACCCAAAGGAAAGCAACAAAAGCAAAATTAAATGCATACATGTACGTGCATATGCATGCCGTACAAGGCGCTGGTTCGCTAGGTTACACTCTCACCCGCCCAGTACGGTGATGGCGATACGGGAACGCACGCCCATTCACGTACATTGCGCACACGTGCATGCATTACACACAACTGTACGGCGCACACCCGATTGGATTCCCCATGCTTATTCTCGGGAGGCCCCGTTTCCTCGCACCAGGTACTCACCATCCGAACCACAACAGGACGGTTCCCAGCACTACCAGCACCGCCGAGTGCCCGGGCAATGGCACCGGCTGGTTCTCAATGTCAAAGCGGCCCATGCGGGGCCCTAGCAACACGGCACCCGCAAGACCTGCGACGGTGGAAGCACACGGGCAATATGGGGAAGCATATAATGGGATAATAGTGGAGATTATTAATATACCACACACTGAGCTGTGGTGGCATTTGGCAACGAAGCAAGGATGCTGGGATTCTCTTGAGGCAAGCACACTGCTGCCTGCCACAGCTTTACGGTGGTGTTTGTCGGGGGGGGAGGGTCGGCCGCCGAAAAGGGGAGGGACGCCGCCTGCATGCATACTAACACCCCCACAGGCAGGCGCAACGCAGCAATGATGTCGCCCTCGTGAATTGGCCTGGGTTCGCCAGTCCCGACCCCATGACCCAATTAACCGTAGATCCGAACAACCCGAACGCAAACATCACAAGGTCCACCGCAACACAGACCCTATCCCTGCCATGTAATAACCCGTGCTACTGTACCTGAGAGTCCTCCTAGCATGTGTACAACACCGGAGCCGGCAAAATCCATCATGCCGCACCGCAGTAGCGGCTTCAGGGTGCCGTACCCAAGCCAACCCTTGCTGCACCACACCCAATGCGCCACGAGGGGGTATAGGAAGGCGGAGATGAAGGTGGAGTAACCTGTGCGAGTGACGCACGAAACGCGTTAAGGGTGGCAACGGTCCATCCAATTATCCGGTTGGAATCTCGGTGCGAGAGCGTAACCAATGATGAAGGGAGTTACGTGTGTCCATGGGCAAATAGAGCGCAAGAGAGGTGATGCGTAGTACCCTGATTGTCGATCGGACTGCTTCGCCCTCATGCATCTGATGTCCAGCCAGACCAGCCGGCGGAGTTAAACTGCAAGCCAGCTGCGAAGTTAATCCCTGCCTTGTATGCAGTTACGTTTAAACGCGGGCGCAAGTAACTTGCAAGAGCTCATAAAGACCACTAATCCATTCGTTCCTAGCCTTTGCACACATCTCCGACAAATGCACTCCCGCACCTTACCTTGGTAAAGCACGTACATACCGACTGAGAACGGCCGACCAAGCGACCAACTGATCGGTCTATTCAACCCGCCACACAAATTGGCTTTCCATAACACCACAACACACACACACACACACACACACACACACACACACACACACACACACACACACACACACACACACACACACACACACACACACAGAGTCGCTGCCGTTGAGCTCAGGAAATAACGCCCCACAACTACTCATTCCGCTCCTTCAGGCACGTGTATGCATGCACACGCATATGACCGCCACGGCACGTCGCGTGGGCAGTGAGGGAGGTAAGGCCGTCACCGCTGGCGCCACTCACATAGATAGGCGTTGAAGTTGCAGCGCTCAGCCACAGATCCAGCAGGGATGGTCACGGCGGTGGCGCAGAAGGCCCACTGAAATACGAAGTCCAGCCAGCGACCTGCGTGTCGTCATGTGGGGAGTAGCAACGAAGCTCAAGGTGGAACACACACGCGAACAGATGAGCCAGGAGGCTAGCAGCTGTGTAGGCATGCGGGTAGGCAGGTGCGCAGCCAGATGTGGAGGCAGACATGCAGGCAGAGACCAGACGTACGGGACGACATGCAGGAAGGTAGGTAGACAGGTTAACAGGTTTGCAGGGAAGATGGCAGCGAAGTGGGCAAGCTGGTACACAGGTAGGCGGACAGATGGTCACGCACGGTATTGAGCGGCCAGGCGGAGTGTTGGCTACATGGAAAGGCATACTCCTTCCTTGTTGCCGCACAGGAAATTGCCGCCGCCGTGCAGTACCACCCAGCTGCCCAGCCTGCCCAGCCACCCAGCCTACCAAGCCAACCAATCAGCTAGCCATCCGGCTAACAAGCCAGCGACCTAGCTGGCCAAGGAAGTCAACCATCCCTGCATTAGGGCTAAATATTTTGCTCTCACCAGTGCCACTTCCCGTGTTGTGAGTTGTCACACGCGCCAACGCGAACATGGCATCGCCGATGAAGGGGTTGGGTTTGTCGCCGATACCGAATGCGAAGCCAAAGCTACAATATGCATTTGCAAAGCAGGTTCAGGGAATCGGAGGGAGGTAAGAGAAGGAGCGGATAATGGTGGATGAGCAGCGGATTCAGGATTGTGGGGCGCGTGGGCCGCGTTTGCAGGTGGTGGGGGTTTGGAGGGGATTGTTTGACCACGGATCCCCAAAGCACGTCTCGGTAAGTTTCTGCGCCATGCGTCTCATCGTGCGTACAGCTCTGTGCGTCTGTACGTCTGTGAGTCTATCCGTCTGTGATTCTGCCTGTCAGTACGTCTGGGTGTCTATAAATAGTTGGGTGTGCCAGATTTTTAACTTCTTATGGACATGCTGCTTGAACGTGCAACAAAACGCAGGGCAAGGCAGCCCCAAGGAAACCGTGCTTTCACAGCAGTAAATGCAAGCAAGTGCACCCATCCAGTCCAGTGCAAGCCCTTCAGCATGGCACTCGAAGCACGGCAGGTATGCATGTCGCGACCCGTGCAGCTAGCCAGCTATCCACTTAGACCCATTACTTCCGATACATGTGTGTGCATTGTGGAGCTTTGTCTCCGTACAAACACTCTGTGTATGGAACTATGGTTCCATGTGTACATACATCAGTACATACATACGCCGTGGAAATTCTTCCGGTTGGGCCCATATATACATGGACATGCCGCGAGGGTCGAGTTATGACCTAGCCATGCATGCATGCATGCACGCATGTGTTCATGCAACACCTTGACACACGTACACATGCATACGCACCCAATTAGATACCACATCAGGGCCGAGGCGCAGGCGTCCATCAATGTCTGGAGAAGTATGTTAACGGCGTTTTTGGAGCGGATCGCGCCTGCCGCCAGCTGTAGCAGCAACAGCAGGCAACGGAAATCGCGCGCGCACATGGATGGCTACAAGCTACAAGCTTCAGTACTTTGTACGGCCCAGGCGAACATGAATGCTCGTGAACTACACGCACACATCGCCAATAATCACACTGTACGAAGCAATGCATCATCACGACATGCGCGTGAAGGGCCGCGAATAATTGGATTAATGATGGCGTGCGGACGGGAATACATGGATGCCTAACACGGCCCTGCACGATGAGCTGCACGGCAGCAAGCAGCAATAAGGCATACGATACAAGACACGCGTACATATGTGGGAGGGTTGGGCGAAAAGTACAACAGCAGGATAAAAGCAATGTCAATCCAACTGGCACGCAAGGAAGGCGCCTTGTTAAGATTAAGTTCCTTTATGCTGCCAAGGTTCGAGTGCTTGGTAGGTTGTTCGTGGTCATGTCTGACTCAGTCGGCCGACTAAGGACGACTTAAGAGTTCCTCAGCCGTCCTCGGCCCGCGCTTCAGGTGCGCGGAACACGTGAATACTGACTTACGCACCATAGCAAAGCCGCCATGCATAACCTGCATGCACAAAACGAATACTAATTGTATTTATCATGCATACCTCTGCGAGCTTTCGTAGCTGGAATCTTCATAACCCTAAGCCCACAAACGTATTCATTCTGCACCGGTCGCAAATAGCAATGCAGCTGTAACTCACAAAAACGAGCGCTGTTCCAAAGAGGAGGTAGAACTGGTTAACGCCATTCCTGAGATTTTCTACCTGGGCGGCAGCAGGGTCGCAACCGTTGTGGGTGAGTTGGACGTGCGTGTGCATGAGATACTAGAGCGAGGTAAAAACTAAATTAAGGAAGCCTGTAACGCACATTTAGAGCGGTCTCTCGTGTGGCGTCGCATATCGCCAGGGCCACCGCCTCTGGATTCGGAAGGGAACTGAGAGCTGCACTCAAGCTGGATAATATTTCTGGTGGGCATTTCATGTTTTTTTATGCTACTTTGCAGCAGCGTCCAGTCTTTCTGTCGGACCAACACTTCCTTTTGTGTCAACAAAACATACAAACATATTCATTAGAGCATTATAAGCACTAGCAAAATTCAGTTCCTCAGTTTCAAGACTCAAATCGTCATTTATTAATTCATGGCGCAAGCCGCTTGGGCTGCTGCCGTGAGGTCGCTCGTAACCCGATCAGCTCGATGGGGTCGAACGTTCCCCCTTGCAAAAGCTGATCACACCAATTTTGATTCCATGATTGTCCATTATGTTACGCAACATCTGGTGCTTATGCAAATGAAAAGCGAGTCGAAGTTGCCCAACTTTTCCTCACTGCATAGCGGCAAATCATAAATTCACCCCAGTAAATCCTGGAACTACCAAAGCTGCAAATCATGCAGCAAAGTGGATGCCAGGGCGGCGAAATCACTGGCGCACATGTGACCGATTAGTGCCTCCGTTTTTAGGGAAGTCTTAAGGTCGCTAGGGCTGCGGCAGCAGGCTGAGCTACTTTGTTCAGAGCGAATGTCGTGGCATCAACTGCCGGGGAAAAAAGCGGGGTCGCACCGCTTATTTTGGGAACTTCCGTAACCTCGTCAAAGTGTGATTAAGCGATGCACTTGGCACAGTTCCTTATCATGAAACTTGTATCGTAACTCCGTTTTCCATGCCTCGAAACCCATCCTTGAGAACAATTGCTTTCAAGAGCTTAAATATTTCTAGATTCTCATCCTGCACTTCATATCCAGCTAGTCCGGACGCTAGTCGTGTCATACAGTGTCATACGTAATGCTCTCTAGCCGCAGCACGTGACTTTGCGTGCAGTGTTACCCATGATATATAATGATACTCGAATGATACTTTTACAACAGGCGACGAAAGGCCCAGGCTGCTGGTTCCAGCCGCCGACTTGGAGAGAAACTCGGCAGCTACGAGTCCTCATGTCCGTTTGTGGTAACGAATGGTAACGAATGCATTTGCGTATAAGGTCCCCAGCCAGTAAGATTGTTTACCAACCTTGGCTGCCAAATCCTTCCGGCTAAGGAGAACCCTAGAACTTAAAATCTTATAACTTTAAACCCTAGAAGCCCTACATAACTCGAAACCCTAGCTACCTATTGACCAGTCCAGGATACCTTGGAGTTAGGTTGGGAAATAATATACAATTAAAGTACAGGCCCGGCATCGCCCCGTTTGGGGACTGCGTCCGTCCCGACATCCTGCACTGCACTCCTATTCATAACTCATTATGGATAGGTTATGGCAGAGGATCATCTGGATACTGGATCCAGAAGATCACAGGTGCCTTGCTTCCCCTGGATAATTTTGTTCCAGCCATACATGGCCTCGCATTTCTGCTTGCTGCTTCCTGCAGTGCAACTAGTGAGGTGGTGAATGCCAACTTACAATGGAGATGCCTGCTGCCTGGTGAACGATGTATGAATGGCTTTCGACTTTAGACTTTAGGGCTTTGGACTTTAGGCGAGTGCATAACTGTGTGCAGTAACTGTGTGGCGGAGCACAAACTGACGAGAGCCAGAGAGAGCATGTAGGGCAGGATGATATCAGAGCAGGCCGGTGTAGGATTAATGGCCAGCTAATGGCCACTCCGGACAGGGCCCACTAGATGACGAGAACAGACTGCTGTAAAATACGAACTGCTCTGCATGTGCCATAAGCTTTACGGCTACTTAGGCTTGGAGCATGATCTGCACTTCTTGTTACAAGCAGCTAAGGAATGTGGCTTCCAGCTGCCATATATAGGAATAAAATCACGATTCCATAAGTACGACATAGATCTATAGAGGACAACAATAGAGAGGTCTGACCGGAATCATGTCTAGTTCACAACACTGCACAACACTCCCCCGCGGGCAGACCTCCATCCACGTCCAAAAATCACCATCTAGCGCATTCCTACTAGTGCCATCACACATGCAAACTTCTTATGCTGAGGCAAGAACAACGCCTTCATCAGGCAATCCGCCACTATGTCTGCAGGCTTGACGTAACGGAATGAAACCTCGCCCCCTGCGGCATGCTCACACACAAAGTGGTGCAGCACAACTGCGTGCTTTAACCGAGCAGAAAAGCTCGGGTTACCAGCCATCTTAATAGCTGCCTGGTTGTCACACACAATGCTCACTGCCCTCGCACTCTGGCTATCGCCGGTGTGTAACGCCTACACAACCGCAGCCTGCCTGGTGCAGTCACCAGCACGCAGGCGGAACGCCGAAGCATCTTGCCTGTGCTACTATATTGCCTTTTGCTCTTTGTCCTGTCCTCGCATGTTTGCGCCTTCCTTTTCGTCTTTCTTGGTGGAATTTCCGTAGTGTTCCGAACACTACGAGCTGTCCGTGTGCTCCCGTGTCGGGGCCCTGTGTTTTAGTCTTTGCATTTGGTTGGTGCAGTCTTCTTGGGGGTGGGTCCCGGCTAGGGCCTGCATTCCCGTTCTTTGGCTGTGCTCTTCCTTTGCTACTTACGGGAAAAACGTTTGCTTTGATTACGCATACGTTCTAGGTGCTCTGAAAGCACCGCGCGAATGCTGAATTCCTGAACGAGTAAGGGCATGCATTTGCAGTATGCCGTGGAACCGCGCAGCATTACAATACCGCATAATGTCACAGTCACGCGTCAACTACCTGCCGTACAACTGCAGTTAGCTCCAGTTCATCGCCAACATGGTGCATCCTCATCTCCAGGACTCGCATTGTTCTGGTTTGAATCTGATGACTAACAGAATAACGCAACACGCACAAAGAGGATAGGTTAGCCTTAAGACCTTATCTCGCGTGAGCATAACAGCAAACCAAAGATGATGGACTACATAAAAGATACTTGGAGAGAGCTGCGACGAATGAATTTGCGACAAATGATGGTGCAAGGCCTGCAACTAGGCAAGTTCCACACTCGCTCCAAGATAGCCTTCGTTACGTATGGCTTGTGCAATCACTAATTTACCAATTCGATGATATTACTGGACTCTTACGATTATAGGTCTAATCGTCACCTCCGCGCTCATGATCTGGAAGTCGCTAATGCTGGTGACAGGAAGCGAGTCACCGGTATGTGCCTCAGTTATCATTGCTAAAAATGTCTGGACTGAGGAGTTAATTGCCTGATTTCTTCAGGTCGTAGTGGTGCTGAGTGGCAGCATGGAGCCTGGCTTTTACCGTGGCGATATTTTATTTCTCAACATGGGGAAAAAGCCGATTCGAACAGGCGAAGTTGTCGTCTTCAACTTGGACGGACGCGAAATCCCTATTGTGCACCGTGTAATTAAGGTGCACGAACGGAGAAATGGCACGCATATAGATATCCTTACGAAGGCGAGTTCATTATATAATTGATTGAGGAATAGGGGGGGGCAAGAGGGGACTGAATAGCTCGGTTCCGGGGACAAGGAGAAATGTTTTCGGGTTCTGGTTTGCCTATGACCACTGCCTGGTTTGAACATCGAGTCGAGTCGCTCGCTAGTTCCATAACATTTCGTACGTCAAGGTGTATCTAAACCTGTGCAGATCCTATTTCTGCAATAGGCGTACCATGCATGTAAATGCATGACTTTCTCTCCCTTCCCGTGCGGTGGGGCCCCATGGATATCCTTTAATGGTGCTTGCTCGTGTCAAACCAGGGAGACAACAATTACGGGGACGACCGCGCTTTATACAACGAGGGGCAGGAGTGGCTCCACCAGCACCATATTATGGGGAGAGCTGTAGGGTAAGTAATGACTGTTGTCAGCAGGCAATCTCTGCTGCATCCCGGAGCTTGCGGCCATGTGCAGATGCATGTATAGCTTAGTCCCCGTATCCCCCTTTGCATTCTGCAATCGTATTAGGTTTGTCGCAATCGCTCTTCCGTTGCGAGCACTGGATTGAATGGCGGTAGCTGCTGTGGTCATTTGGGAGCATAGGGACAGAGGGGGGACAGGTTTCGAGTCCAACCTTTACGGTACTCGGTGCTACGAACCGGGAAGGGCGTAGGCGTCACACGGTCAGCCAGAGACCATGCGGAAGGCACATTGCGGTCTGCTTGGTAGAACTGTATATGTGGACTGACCTGCCATCGACCTTGAACCTCTTTCCGCCCTGTCCCGCAGCTTTCTCCCAAAGGTTGGCATGGTGACCATCATGATGAACGACTACCCTTTTCTCAAATATGCGCTGATTGGCGTTCTGGGCATACTGGTATTGACTAATAAGGAGGGTTAGTCTTGACGACGCATGGATGTTTTGGGGACGTGTAATCCAGTTGGTCGGAAGGTGCATTATGCATCGGGTGTTGGGGCGGCACCGGTCGGGAGTTTTGAGAACTGATAAAACTATCTTCTGGTTGTTACGCGGCTGAACGGATACTGGCAAGCATTGCGGTAACACATGGTGATTGACCAATGCCCAAGACTTGGGTAAACAATCCTGAAGGCAAGAACTCGGAAGTCCTATTTCACAACAATTATATTGTTAAAGTATCAGGGATACCAGTTATGTAACGCTACCATGCTATCTTACATCGTTACACGCGCGTTTGCGCTCATGCTACACCTGTGATTCCGGTTATCAGTTGTCATTGTCGTAGTTTACGACAAATGCAACTAGCAGACCAAGCGAAAAGGAGGAGTACCCATTAGCATTCTTTGCCTGCGAGGAAAATTGGCTAAAACGCTGACGATGCTGTCATTCGACAGATAGCTGTGATTTAACCCGCCAACCTCTTGACTACCGACTGTGGTCCTTAATTGGCAGAATGAACTTTAATAAAAAATAGGATCTATATCAAATAACTAAAATTGTTTCTGGGTTACCGACTTTAAGTTTGGGTTCCATTTCCATCTTGTTTGAGCTTGAGCTCAACCCTGTAACGAGGCGGACGGAGTTTCTGACATCATTTGGTGGCAGTAATGGAGCCGGAGTATGCCTCAGCTGCTGGGGCATCCGGGCACGCTCAGCCTTCTTCACCTTTGCGGGACCATAGTCGGCATAACCTTCATACATCAAGCCCACTGCGGAGTCCCATATGGTCACCCAAGTCGCGTGTGACGTATAGCGATCGGTTTATTCCGTCTCGGGCTGCGGCAGCCAGGCTTGATTACAGTATTCTCGACCGCGAAATGGCCACTTCTGACGTCTTAAAGCAGGCAACAGATCGGGAGGTGAGAGCAGCAAGGTATCAAAGGACAGATAATTAAGCGCCAGCTAGCTGATGGTAAACCCACAGTGACCCCAGGGCCAGCCACGCCGCTTTGTAACGGCCGGGAAAGCGGCACTTCCTCCTCTAATAGGAGGGAGTTCTACACCAGAAGATGCGACGTGTCCGCGGAACCCTTTTAAGTTGGGCCGATTTGGAGCTGACACCTATTTTGCACGGTGTGCGCCCCTTGAACTGCGTCTCCCTTGTGATTGCGCTGTAGGACTTAAATCCAGCCTACAACTTGCTCCTCCGGTCAGAGCTTTTGGGTTCATCCTGTCCTGGTCCTATATCGCCCGACAAGGTGCGTGATCCCGGTTGGGTCTCTCAGAATCCCTGGACCATGCACCGGGAATAATATGCTGTTTTTTATGCCTGGCTTCGCCCTCCCTACCGCATGTCTCCTTTCTAGTATCTGCACGTTTTATCCCATATCCTCGGACCTATACCTGCTGCGAATGCTAACATGTTGTGCGTGCTGCACTTGCACGTATACCTGACGTCTGAGAGCAGGTCCAGCAGCTCGAGCAGCTTCGCGCTCCCGCCAGCCCAGGGAAAAGCCTCTTCCGCTTTAAAACGGGAGACGTCCACAGCCCGCATGGTGGTCCGGCTGCTCAGAGCCCATTCGTCGTGTCTCCAGTCGGAGACGACACAGCTGCGGGGTCGCCCTTCGCCAGCCCCCGGCGCGCACAGCGAAAGATCGCACGGGCCCCCTTTAAGGTAGGCCCTTGATGCCAGCATGTTCTTTGGTGACTGTGGTGACTATTAAGTTTTGACCAAGTTTTCTCACGGCACATTCTGAAAACGGCTGGGTTGATAGGTGCAGTCGTGTGCGACTTGGAGCTTGGATGTGGGTCGCAAATTGTTTGTAAATTGGAGCTAGAGGGTGATGGATGATTCCCGCTGCAGGAGGCCCCCTCGGAGGGGCGCTCCCGTTTCGAGGGCCGAGCCACAGTCCCTTTGCGCTTGTGTAGCTCAAAAGAAGGATGGCCGTCCTGTTCCTGTTCATGGTTGAAGAAACAGCACACAACAACTCCTCTGGGTGACCGTTGCTTCTGTGCCCCGTGGTCTTGCTGCCAATTTTTCATGTCCCAGGTTCTGGATGCGCCCTCTCTGGCAGACGACTTCTACCTGAACCTCGTGGATTGGTCCTCACAAAACGTGCTGGCCGTGGGTCTCGGTACTTGCGTATACCTCTGGTCGGCAATGAGCAGCACGGTACGTGTCTGTGCGTTCGGAGCAGCCTGTGGTTCTGCACATCCGAAGTTTCGATGGCTAGGTATAAGGACTGACAGGGACAAGGATTGAAGTAACCGGGGGCGCTGGCGTCGTGATGTGAAGCGATTCAGTGCGGTGGCGCGGTTACATGCGAGGGTCTGTACGTCATCTGGGTCGGTTTGCCTGCACTCAGATAGACCGGAAAGGATTCCATTAGCGAACGTGATCTGGATTTGCATGGGAGTGCACGTGTGAGGCAGCTTGCCGATGTGGGTCTCGGTGGGAACACACAATAAGAAGCTTGGAAAGCGTCGCTGTGGGCGATTGCTGTAGAATGAGGTGAAAGGTGTTGGGGGGGAGCCCGTATTATGCGGCTTTCAACCGATGTGGGTCGGTGGGTCGCGCTGACCCACATCGATTAGATGTGGGACATCCCCTAAAAAGACCGCAACCTCCACGTTATCCCATGATGTCATGCCACTCCTTGTCATGTCATGCCCCGTCATGTCATGCCATGCTGTGTCATGTGGCGTGGCAATGGTAAACAAGCTAAAGTAGACTTCATTCCAAGGTTCCATGCATGTCCTAAGGCGCGCTGGCTGAAACTGCTTGAGTTGGTGTACAAAGGACCAGTGCTGCCGCAACTGCATACCAGCGCCACCCTGCTCTGCCCTGAGGCCACCAGCGCGCCTGGTAACCGCAGGTTCCACTCTCTTCAATAAGGAGCGCTGGCTTGATATCTCACCGACCTTTCACCTAGAGGGTTCGTGCGTCACCCACGCCCTATCATCCACCCTTTGTGGTTGCTTCCCCCTTCCCATCCTTTGGATTGGGGCGTCGGCATTTGATCTTTACGTGCTTTTACCTGCTTGTTGCATGTGTGATTCTCGTGCCTTGCCCACCCGTAGGTGACCAAGCTCTGTGACCTGGCGCCGCACGACACGGTGTGCAGCGTGGAGTGGAGCAGACGTGGAACCTTCCTCTCCGTGGGCACCAACAGCGGCAAGGTGCAGATCTGGGACGTGGCCAAGCTTAAGCTGGTGCGCACGCTCGAGGGCCATCGCGCGCGCGTTGGGACGCAGGTGAGAATGAGTGTGCGTGTGTGTATATGTGTGAGAGAGTCAAGAGTCACCGTAGCTTTCAACCTGCAACAGACAGCCGGGGCTCTCGTCCCTTGACCCCAAAGGGCCGAAGACAGCATGTAGCTTGGTGGCCTTGATGCTCGAGGGCTAGGGGGAGGGCTCTCGCATGCAGGCCTCGTCCAACATCCTCGTGTGTGGTGTTTCCCTTGGGCGGCGCGAGGTTCTCACGCTCGCTTGATATGTGAAACCCGTTTTGGGGTCCTCTTCTTTCACGGTGCCATGTCCTGATGGCGGACGCTGCGGAGGGGAGTTGCCTGAAAATGCCAAACTGCCTGAGAATGACATGACATGGCTTCGGTGCAACCAATCAACATGCTCTCGCGAAAGTGTAATACCTTCCTGTTATGTTGTTCCTGTTTAAGAGTCACTTGCGGAGTGGCTTCATTAGTGTGATGGCAGACATACATACAGGTTCTCGGACTACGAAGCGGCCTCTTGCCAAATGGCAGAAGGACGGATGACGCTAGTCATCAACATCCACCTCGCTCGCAGGCCAAAGGGCGAACAGAGGGGCGTGTGCACTCCCGCAAGCACTTAACAACAAAGCATTGTGCATGAAAACATCCCGCTGCACGTCACGACTACACGGCAAGCGCTTGTCCTTGTGCACACGCCGTGCGGCCGTTTAGCCCGACTTTTATTAAACCGCAACGAGCCGTAGGATGGATAGCCCGGTAGACCGGTCTCCCAAGCAATGCTGTGGGTTCGACTGCCCACCGAAAACCAGCGGCCCTAGCGAACCCACTTATCCATTCACTCACCGCGACCCCAATCCGCTGATTTGCTGGCTCAGGCCTGGGGCTCGCACGTGTTGTGCAGCGGCAGCCGCGATCGCCACATCCTCCAACGCGACATCCGCTGCCCAGAGCACTTCACCGCCAAGCTGGTGGGGCACCGGTCCGAGGTGTGCGGCCTCAAGGTGTGCGGGCCTCAACCCGGAGGGTTTACGCGGACCGCAAGAGTTAGATGGGGGAGACAGACGAACCACAGACGGGTGAAGCTGATACTTCAGGAGAGGTAGACGGATACTCTAGGAACAGACGGATACTGCTGAAAGGGGGGGGGAGCTTACCAGGCCACCCTGATTGCGAGTCCAGTCCGAAAGGGTGCGGAGAGTCGGTGGAGGCGGGATTTGACAGCCCCGAATTTGCTAGGGGGAACCTGCGCCTCGGTATTTCCCACATGACGACATGGTTTGATTGCGGCTTTCAGATGCTATGGATACAATGGTTCAGTTTGTCGGAGTCGGTATTTGAAAGAAAACCTAAGAAACCCTAAGTCGGTATTTGAAAGAAAATGTCTTCGCCATGGCAGGCATGCTCGCTCGCCGACCCATGTATTTCTCGGCTTCCGCTTCCGCTTTTTTCTTTACGCAGTGGTCCCCGGATGACCGGCAGCTGGCCAGCGGCGGCAACGACAACCAGCTGTACATCTGGTCTTTGCCGTCGTCGTCACCTGTGTACAAATTCGCGGACCACACCGCCGCCGTGAAGGTGCGGAAGGACTAAGGTTAGGGCTACGAAGAGGGGATGCGACATGGATGGGTGAGCACGTCACCGAATGGGTCGCCTGGCCCAAACCATTTCCACATCATGGAAGCTGGGTCTTGAAACTTACGTACATACGTACATACACAAGCACACACGAGGTATCGCTCGGTTGCCGGGGACCTCCTGTTAATGGGAAACCTGTCCCGGTCCTTTGTTTTGCTCTCGGGTGATGGTAATGCGGGCCTGCCGGAAAACATATAGGGGACACGGCGTGTCAGGTGTGCTTGGTGCAGAGCCATCCTTGGGATTGTATATCCGGTTGCCGTTTGGTTGGCTCAGAATTAAAGAAAGTGTTGGAATCTAGGAAATTGCAGATGTCTCGTGCATTTGGGATGTTTTGTTAGTTATGTTTCCAGTTCATGCAGTTGTTTTGATTTTTTGCGGTGACTTCACAGTTACACACACATGTAAACAGTCGTCGATTAAACTGTGGTACCGTCCACTGCACTGCGAGCTGTTGCTGGCGCCGAAACTATGCCCCGCCGTGCGATATTGTCCCATGCCGCCTGTCGTGCGGACTCACTCTGCGGGCCAACACCACATGTAATGATGCTTTCATTGCCCATCTCACCGTGTGTGTGTAGGCCATCGCCTGGTCCCCACACCAGCACAGCTTGCTAGCAAGCGGCGGGGGGACGGCGGACCGCTGCATCCGGTTCTGGAACACCGCCACCGGAATGCCACTCAACTGCATCGACACGGGCAGCCAGGTGCGGATGGGCGGGCGGGCGGGCGGGCAAAGTGATGCACGGTCCGGAAGCTTACACCTCTTCGTTGGGGCGTTTTTCTTGCCGCTGCTGCTAGCATGAATCTTGTGTATGCACGCGTGCGGATAGTGACGGGAGGGGGACATGTACGCAGCTGGGTCTGGCTGCTTCTATTGCCGGTCTGGTTGCGCCTTGCCAGTCATGATGTGTGTCTGTCTGTCGCGCGTCGGGTTGCTCTCTGCCAGTCACGATGTGGGTCTGTCTGTATCCTTATTTCCAATACTAGCAATGCCTTCCCCCGGGGGCAGCTCCAGAAGTTTTGTAGCCTGAAAATGGCTTGGGATGTGGCCGGAAGAACAGGTTAAGTGGGTTATTCCTTCACTGCCTGTGGCGATGGGCCTCGCTCGACTTTCCTTCCCTGGAGCATGGTGCTGCCGTATGGGTGTTACGAAAGCTTTTGTACAGCGGATTTGGCCGAGCCGGTTCGCGCTTCTTGCGCCGGGGGGTATGCGCACATGGCATAGCGCGGCACGGCGCAAGACAAATGACCCGGCAAATGACCCGGCATGCCTGGGCTGCATATGATGTATGGCATCTATTGTGCGCGAGAAGACCGCGGGATTTGTCGCGTGGGTTTTCTCCTACAGGTTTGCAACATTTCCTGGTCCAAGAACGCCAATGAGATCGTGTCCACCCACGGCTACAGCCAGAACCAAGTCATCATCTGGAAGTACCCCTCTATGGCGAAGCTGGCGACACTCACAGGTGCGGTAGGGTCGTGTGTATGAGTGTATGTCCCTTCATGGCGCGTTCCTGGTTAACGTACGCATGGTCCTGGCTTGGGACATCTCGCATCTGAACAGCTGTTCCGGAAGACGCGACTGCCTGCGCCTTGGGGCTAAATCCTGGGCGCCATGGGTGTTTATCTATACAGCTGCGCAGCTGTTTACCTGTTCACATGTACAGCTGTGGCTTTGTGCAGCTGTCCGCCTGAACAGTTGCACTGCTGCTGGTTCCTTTCCGTCCTCTTTCCTTCTTTCTTTCAGTCTGTCCCGTTCTGTCCCGCCTCCTTCCCTTCCCATGACGTCTTAAGGACATTCCTGCCCGATACGTTTCGCTCAATCGCCTGCATCCCTGACCGCCTGATTGTCATTTTTTTCCGTCCTGTTGGCGTCCCCTACACGTGCCCCGTCCTCCTCCTCTGCCCATCTTCGCCTCCTCAACTGACGCGGCTACGATGTCCTGCAGGCCACACACTGCGAGTGCTGTACCTGGCCGTGTCGCCTGACGGGCAAACTATCGTCACGGGCGCCGGCGACGAGACGCTCCGTTTCTGGTCCGTTTTTCCTTCGGCCAAATCCTCTGGGCCCGACACAACGGTTGCCAGTATGAGCCGTACGACGATCCGTTAAAGGGGCATCTTGTTTTGGCATCTCCGGGCTCCAGCCGAAGCAACCGCTGGCAGCGGCCTCAGGTTTTGCGCTGAGGAGAAGCTGGTAGAAGGTTTCGGAGCTCTTACGGTTGTGACAGGCTTCATGCAAGCACGAGGCCGGCTTTGGTGAAGCTTTCTGGGCTGACTGCAAAAATACGTACGACAGGTACGGGCGCGAGCCCAGCTGATACCCACAAGTCCAGGCGCTGAGAACGCGGTTAGGGTTTGAAGTGTGCGCGGGGGATTCGCGGCCATGTAGTAGAGATGGATTGGGGCGCTTGGGGACGCAACTGCTGGCTGCCGGGAGCGACGAGGCTGGTCGGTCTGCAGTAACGCGTCAAGAAAGGATTTGCTTGATTGTTCAAAATCGTAACAGACACGCGGGCGACGTGAAGGTCGTCTTTGTCCAACAGGCGCATCGCCCAACATTTGCCATTACTTGTGGGTGAGCAGGGCGCGGCAGAGAGCGCGGCAGCTCTAGGACGAGATATGGGTCGTGCTCTTTTTGTCACGGGCGGTGCGGTTTTCGTTTGCTCCAGATGCGCTATCAATAGGCCCAGTATACACGATGAAGTGTAGTATTAGGACTGTATCCCACAGGATCCTGGGGCGATGTACATAAGTACTCTGATAACATGTTGGTGCCCGTAGCTGCTGCTTGTGGCGCGGGGCTCGTAATATAGCCTCAGGCCCTAAGACCTAAACGGCCGTCGCCACGGCTCGTGCAGCATGCACAGAGAGCGCCCAGGGCGCCGTCCGTGTTGTGCGGTGTGCCTGGGTGAACGACAACATGAGATCCGCTTACAAGGAATGTGGATTTTGGGACTCAAGCAGCACCGCACGCTGCAGCGGGGTGGGGTTTCGCACATCGAACTAAGACCTCCCTTTTTCCTCGGTGCTTGTTGCCTAAGAGCGGCAATTATTGGAGCACTTCGACCACGGACTCGTAAGCCTCATATCATACCACATTTATTGGGTCATGGGGCGTACAGCTGTCCGTAGGGCCATAATTGTATTTCTTGTAGGAGGATTTATCCCCGAGGTCAAGTTCAAACCCAGGGAGGAGTTATTCTATGGGCTTTGAAGCCTCAATTAAGGACGAGCCCCGAAACCTCCAGGGCTTTTTACCTGCGAAACTTTATGAGATTTGGTAACCAAACAACGTGCGGGAACGGCTGGCCTGTGGGACTCTTCGGTTTGGGGATGCTGGTGCTTGGGTTAGTCGGGGATAGGCGGCGATGGGTGCCGGGTAGGGATGGCACTGGGGTATCGCACCATAGGGGCTACTAGCGTATATTTTGCCTCGATAACTTTCCCGGGCTTCCCAAACTTCCTCCCGGTTTTCCTGGAGAGGGGTGTGACGGGCGGGGGGGTGTCTCTTTGATGGCCACGGCGGCTTCTTTGGCAACAGAGACATGGCGCTTCCCCTACTGGATGTGGTGGTGTCTTCATCTGTTTATGTTCCGGTTTGTGTTCCGGCTAGCAGGAGTAGGCTTATTCTTCAGGCAGATCCTGATCAGGTTTTGCGGTTGGACCTGAAAAGCAGCCCAGAGTGGTGGAGTGTGTGGTGTTATCCGGTTCGCTGAGGCGCTTGTGACAAGGCGTGATGTGGGCAAAGTTGCGGAAGTCACGGGGTTGGTCTGCCGTTGGGCTATGCGTGCAACGCAAGGCTCTACGCTGCCGCTACTTTTGCGCCAAGAGCGCAATGCCTGCACGCCGCACACCCGCGTCAACAGCCGGGCGTTTTGAGTCATACGGCATGAGGTAGGGGAGTGGTGTGGCCTTTTTTATTTCTCGCTGCCTGAGAGGTCAGTGCAAACACTATGGTGTATATCACGAACTAGGCAGGAAGCATGGAAAATGTGGGCATGGTATGTGGGGCATAACAAACACAGTGGTTTTGTCTTGTTTTTTGTTTCTATTTTGCATGCGAGTTGTTTTGGGTTTTGCGATGCCGTATCCACGTGCTGCGTGTGCCCATGCGCCGTGTACACACTGGGGTGCTAGACAGCCCGGTGGTAACCACCACACGGTGGGCCGGCCCCGGCGCGTGGGGATCTGGCTTCTGCTGCAGCCTGTGCGGCTGCGGACCATGCAGCTGCTGTTCCATGGATTTGCATGCATTTGTTTCATCATTCAGTGGTAATGCTGTTGGCCGTGATGGGGCAGTAGTGAATGGTGTTATGGTGCTAATGGCAGCACCGTGAATATGAACAGATTAGTAAATGGGGTAACGACGAAACGTTGAACCAGGACGCCGCCTTTGTGGGGGTTTGGATTTTGGCTCTTATTGGGTTATAGCAGGAACGAGTATCATGTGTTGGGCTTTTGATGGCGAGCTGCGTTGTGGGCAGCGTCCAGCGTTCTGCCCTTGCCCTGCCGCCATTTTGCCGTCCTCACATGTAAGACATTATGCGACTTTGCGTACCGCTTCATTTTTCTGTTCATGCGCATTATGCAAACATGAGTCCCAGGCATGCATATGTTACACTCGTCGCTAGTTACGCAGCGCAAATATAGTCGCAGTGGAGTGATGATATGGCGCCTCGCATGACACTCTCTTCTTGATGAGTGGGTTTGCGCCTCAAGCGATGGGCCGCAGCACACGTTTGCGCAAGCATGCTCGACAGCGTTGGTGAAAATGAACACGGCAGAACAAAAAATCTTGCTTCAGTAAAAAGGGCACGCGAAAAAGAACATTAAGAATTTCAGCAGGAAAAATGTTTAGGGAACGGAGGCTGATGACAACACGACGTGTTTGGCATTTTCCCTTTTGTGCGGGGGAAGGGCGTATGGGGAAAGGGGTTGCGCAGGTGCAAGTAAAATGCTTTCTCCCGTACGCAATCCCCCTGGGATTGCGAACGAATCCCTGTTTTCTCGTGGTCCTCAGCGAGTTGCCTTTTGTGAGATTGGGGCCTGTGAAAAAGGGCCTGAGGGGAGGTACGAGCGTGGAGGCAGCAACGGCGGCGAAAACTGGACCAGGCGCGTAATGATCGGTCTCAAGATGCAGCTTCTTTGCACATCTGTCGTGGTCCCATCTGCACCATTTCCTATGCTTGCTTATAAAGGTGAAGAGCCTGAGCAACCAACCGTTCTTCGTAGAGACACTGACAAAAAAGAAGCAGCAAGTTCCAAATTCCAAGCCTGCTCCAAGCATAATGCGCCTGATTTTTTGGAATTCGCTACAGCAAAACATCCATCCATGTACATCTATAGCAGTGAACAACCGAGCTACACAGCGGCATATCCCTCGGTTCTACCACAGTTGTGGCCACGTGCGAAGCGCTGCGTCGTGTGAAACACGAAGCAAACGTGCTACACAGAGTTTCTCATTTCTTTAAAACAACGGCAGAGACGTCGTGACTACCGTACGGGCTGCCGTACAACCGGAAAGTCAGCGAAAGTCAGCGGGTCCAGTTTGACCGCAACGCCTGACCTTCTTCTAGGAGGCAACGGTTATGGCCCCCAACAAGAAATACAACCAACCCTACCATCCTCTATGGACCAACCGCTACCAACCGCTAACCTCCAACTTAACTTTCCCGTAATTCTTTGTATATCTTTTTGTACATGCACAGTAGCAGGGAGAGTTCATAATCTCATGGGTTTCTGGCCACCGCAAAACCTGCGCCTCCGCCTCCGCTACCGCCGCCGGTGCTGCTGCTGCGCGCTGTCGTCGTGCCCGTCGACGGCGTGTAGTCGCTGCCGTACGGGCTTACGCCTTCTGTACCGTACTCGCCCATCGCTGGTTTCTCTGGCGACATTTCTCTGCTCCCGCCGCCACTGTAAAAGTATCGAGTAGCAGTATCGGCCCCCCCGCCACGGCCGCCAATGGCCGCTGCGTCGCCTAGGGCGCTCATCTTCGCTGCGGCGGTGCCAGCGCCGCTAGCTGCCGGCGCGGTCGCGCCGTTGCTGTTGCTGCCGCCCGAAGCCGCCGCAGTCGCCGCCGTCGCCGCCGCCGCTGCCTTGGCGGTAATGGCGGCGGCGCCGCCGCGAAGCCTCGTCCATGCGGCGTCTAGCCAGTCCAAAGTATCCGCCATAAGTCCCGCGGAAAAGCGACCCATGGGCTGAAGCATGTGATGGTGAACCCATCTGTACGGCAGACACGCGACCGAGTCGGTTGGGGGGCGGGGAAATCAGGGGTTATCTAGAAGGAAGAAAGGCGAAACGACGTAAGGCAGAAGAGAGGCAACAGGAAGCAACAGCAGGAAACGCAACACCAAGGTTAAAGATTGCGCACCGGAACAAGATAAGGATGTCAAACGCAGGATGGGCGGACCGTCGATCGGTCCGTATTGCATGGCACTGGACAGAGGATGTAACATCGCACGGCATGAGCTTGCCAAGCGAAAACGGGAAGCATAAGCCTAGGTGAAGGATCATTTATATAAACGAAAACTCGACCCCTGCATGTAGCCGCATGTAGCCGCATCCCTCCGCAGGTCTGCAGGTGTTGAACGACAATGTGCTCGCAAAACGTTTCTTGTCAAAATATGTCGCTGCTGCCGACAGCGTGACGGCACCGGGCGAGGCGGCACCCTTTCTCGCCTGCAACCATTGAACCTTGCTCAGCCGTACAGCCGTACCCCAATTTTCCGTACAACAACCGTCCGTACCCCGCGACGCCTCCCAGGGACATAATGTAGGCGTCCCGGCTGATATGGTCGTATTGTTCGTACACCAGCGGCCGGCCAGTCTTGGGACAGGGCTTGAACTTGAGGACGGTCATGGTGGGGTAGATTCCAGCCGACAGGTACGGCAGCGCCCGGATCCGTACTGCAAGTACGGCATTCACCGTAGTGGAGGGGGCGTACCGGGGCCACCTTGCAGCATGAGAATGGGGAGCCGAGACGCGAAATCACACCTTTCTCCTCAAAAGGACTTAATCTTCTCATTTAGCGCCAATCCTCTATTATGGGTCGCTGCGCCGCCGTACGCGAGACTTCACGACAACGCATTCACGTACGTCGTACGACATACGTAAAATGTTGTTCAGTAGATGACTGCCGGCCATGATAAAATTGCTGGGTTGACCAAGACCTCAGGCGGCCCCTTCATTTCTTCATTCCCACCCGTCCAGTCATTCCCGGTATCCAACGCCGGGAGTATTATCAGAGGATTATTATCAGAGGCCTCTCTGCGGGACCCACAGGATGCGGGACCCACACCCTATCCCAGCAGGAGTTAATTTGAATGAACAAGCACAGGATCCACAGGTCCACCGTGCGACATCCCTTTTACCCAATCGCGCCCCTACCTTCCTAACGTCTGGACCCCTCAGTAACTCGCTTACCACGAACTGCACTTCCTTCCCGGACTAGACGACTCCTTCCCCCCCTCCTGGACCCTCCCGCAGTCTCTCAGCCTCGTCGGACACCACCCCTCAGATCACTCCTACACGTCCCCAGCCAACCCAGATCCAACCCCGGTACACGTGCCAGTTGACCGACCGTGGTGGTCAACCCACAAGACGGCGCACCCGGCACCGGAGGGCGGGGGGGACCCCGACACGACATCCCCTGCCGGCTCGCTGCGGGGAGTGCGGGGCCTGCAGCCGGCAGCAAAGGATAGCAGGCAGGACAGCGCAGTAGGCAAGAGAGGACGCAGGATGGCTTAATGATAACTGAAGTGATTACATGCAGCAAGAAACATAGGACAAACAACTCTTCCAAAGTCCAAAGCCGCAAGCAACCACAAGGACGAAACCCCACAGTGACTCCAGCAGCAAAACAGGGGATGAGGCGGGTTGAGGGCGACGAGGAGGAGGAGCAGTGTGGGATGCGAGAAGGCCATTTCGGGAAGCTGGGCTCCGTGGCGCCGCTGAGTTCAGGAAATTGTGAAGGAGATGGTGGGATAGGGTTGCGATAGAGACGCGAGAGCCATTGTGGCATGAGTCAGGTGCGTGCGGTCTAAGACGAAGTTTGTTAGGAGCTCGTTCAGCCGCAACCGCCGCTGCGGTGTGCTGTCGCACGACTGTCTGAACTCAGCCGCCGCGCCTACGAGGGGTTTTCCCCTCGCGCACATGCACCCGCTTCAGTAGATTCACCTCAAGTCGATAGCAATCTCCCGTACAACTGGCCGTACGATGCATGTCGCAGTGTATGCGCGGTACAAGCGATACACGTCCGCGGAGGATTCGGCGCGCGCCAAGGTATGCACCAGTACGGCATCGGGTGAATAGTGATGTCGTACCGTTCGCCGGATGCGATCGGAATCCTGGGCGGTGCAAGGAAATCAGGCGACGCTGATAGACATTATACTGCGTTTAGAAGTGAGGTAGGGCTATTACGGAGATGGGCAAGCCGGTTAACGGTTGGAAGAGCTGCTAAATAGCGATATGCGTGCTGCCGCGGCGTGAGCAGGTAGGCATGCCCGCGGCTTATATTGGATGATAGTTCTCATGATGATAGTGGTTACGTCTTATACATATGATGGTGATTGGAAGGTAGCGCGGATTCGCAAATACAGCATACATATCTATAAGTCCGAAACGATAAACAGACGCAATTGCGTCATTAGAGAAAGGATGGAAGAAAGCTATAATGTAGTCGTTGTGAACTTCTGCGTTCTTACATACATTAGGTTGACCGGTGAGAAGTTGCGGGGCTCGCAGCCAAACCTTACCTGGCTGAATAAGCCGCTAACGAGGCCTAGCAGAAATTCATCGGAAACTTGCTCGGAAGGTGGCAAGTCCGAAAATGATTGCACGTGACCGCCAGGCTCGCGGATCCGGAATAGCTCCGACACAACAGGCGCCATGCTGCAGGCGCTGCCTTTCCGGCCGCCCTAAGCTGCTGATTTTGCTGTGTCCAAGCTGCTGTTTTTGCTGTGATAATCAACAAAAAAGCGACATGAAAATGAGGAATCCTTCTGCTTGTTGTTTCTAGTCGTATATCTCTTATCTTAAGAACAACAAATGATTAAATGATGGTGTAACATTGACCGGCTTCCGTAACGCTCCATTGCGACCCATGGGTCACGATATGCCAGCTGTTCCGCCAGCCGTATTTCACCAGATGATTTAGGTAAAATCCCAGTTGAGTTCTTGCAGATGAGTACAGGCTTTCAGCGCCACCTAACCAACTTTGCTTATGTTCGATATGGAAACTCGTTTGGCCTTGCTTTGCCGCCGATTCAAATTTGTAGCCAATCGGTCGACTTCTTCCTCGTTAAGCGCTTCACTCCTTCCGCAATTGCTATCGACTATGCTCCGGAACCAGAGCTTGAGCAGTGTCTCATGGGGCAGCCGGTCAAGCACAACTGGTGGTTAACAGCAATAACTGCAGTTGCAAATGAAGTTATTGATAGTGGATACGGAGTATCATCAAGCTTGAAGCCAACGGTCCGTGAAGAGCTTGTCACCTGCTGCCCACATGAAATAGAATTGGCGCTACATGGCATAGGAGTGCGGTTTGGGACGGAAACCCCAAACTCGGGAGTCTGGAGCCCACTGTAACAACCACACCATCGGGTAGGGTTAGAATTCTCGCACTTGGCTTTGAGGTCTGCCAAACTTTACTCCGTCAAGTCTTTTTGCGTTGCAAATCCCAGCCTTGGATAATGCGTGGTAATAGGACCTGCAATGCAAGCCAGCAGTGCCACCAAGGGTGTACATGTTTGTACGTGTTTGTACATGTCTGTGTGTATTTTCATGTACTAATAATCTGAGCCGCGGCGAGAAAAATGCCGATTATGGTGGTATTTTAGCCAAAACTACATACCAAAGCGAGCTCCGTAGCCCAGCGACATATTAGGAATCCGTGACGTATTAGGAATCCGATGAAACTGTAGACGTTGCTAGAGCTTTTTCATTGTATGTTAATCAGAAGCGTGATGTCAAAAGCCCGTAGGAGTAAGCGGAGGCGCTATAGTGGCGAAGGGCGGCTATGGCCGGCTAGAACTGACAACAAGCAACTAAGGGACCTAAAGTCCCTACTAGATAAAACTTAACACCCTATTTTCCTATCCTAGGCTAGCGCACACGGCAGGGGCGCATGCAGCTGCAGCGCGTGCGATGCGATGGCAAGCAGGGTCCGAGGGATGCGAAATATATAGGGTTAGATGCGATGTTGGGTTCTCGGGGATGCGGACAGGGAGGCTGGGTGAGGTGGCGGCTGGGGGATGCGAACGACGGGGTCAAGCTACACTAGCGAGATGCGTTCGACCGATCGATACCGAGGGGGTACCCGATTCGGGTAACCCGAAGGATGTAAAATATCGACCCTTACTGCATTCCTCTTGCATGGTGGCCCCGGCACGACGAGCCCCCGCCACGGGGTGATTGTTTCAGACCTCGGGGCCCCGGCGGTTGAGACGGTAGCACTGTCTGTTGGTCAGGAAGGGCCCTTGCCTTCCTGGCCGGTATGCGGGCGTCAGCCCCTGAGGGCGAAGATTTGGTCGCACGCTACGGTCTCTTACACTGCCAATTGGTGATATTCTCTTAGCGGTTTGCTGCGAGGTGGACGTATGCTAACAAACTAGCCAACCCGCCGGAGTCGCCGGATGGGGTTAAGCCGAAGATGGGGCTAAGCCGGTATCTGTACTGGATGGGGGTGCACTTCCTTGTAAGAAAGCACGGTTGGCGTGGCTCGCACACACTGGGGATGCTGTCTTACTTAGGCCATTGTAGTTTCAGGTAATGTGGTTGTTGGAGAAGAGCGCAGGTTTTGTGGCCGCGAGCGTGGCGCATGACGTGTACCTGCAGGCCTTGCGACCGGGGAGCGGTTGAGGACGAGTCGCATACGTTCTAGTAAATGCCCACCAGCCTATGTGGACCTAAGGGTTTTACGAGATTATTAGGGACATTCACTTTGTAAGGCTCCGAAATACGTGTCATTGTTACGTTTGAAGCCCCGGCCCCCCCTAGCTGTGGGGCTAGTTTCCTCCCTCGGAGCTGTGGGAGACCATCAAGAGGCACCTGGCAGCACTCAGGCGCGTCGAGCCCCAGATGAGCGAGCTGGGGAGGACAACTCAGAGTTTCTTACTCGGCACCACAATAGTAATGACAATTGACAATTGACCGTCCATGGCTCCCCCGGCTTTCACGATGGGAACGTTACCCGCGCTTGTGACGGGATCTGTGGCCGCTCAAGATGCTGGTGGAGCGCCTTAACGCGTATTTGTGTATTTGTGTAGACGACATGTGTGCCGTTCTATGTACCAGCTACTACTACAGGAACTTGTTATAATTCTTAACAACTTGTAACTAGATACGATTAGTTAAAAAAGGTAACCTCCTCCCCCTTCTTGGGAAAGGTTCTCACCCCTCCCAAGCGTTCTGGTCGGCCTGTGTTTAGGGATGGAGTCCAGGAGGACGTTCGTCGCAGCCAAAAAAAGCCAGAAACTGCCGGAATTGGGGGCCATGGTGGCGCCGCAAGGATCCTCTGCATGCTGCCTCCTCGGATCATAAGCTTTTCTAGAAGTCAGATCTGACTTCTCTTTCTTTTTCTTTTTCACAAAGCTGTACACCATACACTCATAACTGTGGCGCGAAGACACACAAACATACAAACATACAACTAACCGCTGCCGTCGCCTCTCCGCCTACAGTCAAAGCATGTTCTTAGCCTCCTCTGCAGCTCTGGCCGACTTTATCTGGGCAATCACCAACACCGCCCTTCCGTCCCAACGAATCGAACCGCCAACGAATTAACCAACGGTAAAGAAACTCTTTTTTCCTCTTCATCCCGTGCACCGTACGTCCTTTTCCCTTGCTTGACTCCTTACAACATTAATCATACAACAAACTTCCGGAGATTGCACACCCAAAACGTCAACCTAAACCCCCAATGGCACCCAAACAGAATCTAAAGCCTCCACCTTCCTGAGCTCCGAAGTCGGTTGATCCCCCAACCGCCACTGGACTGTACGGCGACCAGTACTACACCTGCACCTGGGCTCATAACGTGGGACAATAACACCTCGGGCGCCCTTGGTCGGAGAAACCCAGAAGTCCTTGGGACTACCGGCGTGGGACACTTGTGATGTGATGGGTACGGAACGACATGACGATGTTTCAGGACATTCCTTCAGTGCAATGGCACGGCCGGTAATGCCTTGGCGTTGGCGGCGCTGTCGCTGTTGCTGCTGCTGCTGCTGCTGCTGCTGCTGCTGTTGTTGTTGCGGTTATTGCCGGCGGCAGCCGTGGGAGACATAGGCGGATGGTTTCGGAGCCGGTTGCCGGCCACAACACTGCGCACGTCGGCGACAGTCTACTGGGGCTGCAGCAGGCCGTTGTCGTCTAGTTGCTTCCCCGCCAGTCCGTAGCCTGCATCCGTACAATCCGCAGCGTGTATGTATGTGTATGTATGTACGATAAATGCATGGCAAATACCATTACCATCGCACAAATCCTAATATACCATTATGTTGAGCTCTATTGCTGCCGTTTGCAATAATTGGGCAATGCTTGAATTGTTTCGGCTTGTTATGACTTCTTATTATGAATCCTTGTCATGAGTTCTTGTATGTCTTCGAAGTCTTTTTATGTTATGGAGTGATTTTATGTTATGGTGTGAGGATGAACGAAGCCGCATCGCACCTTTTACGGGTCCAAGCCAAATCGTGCGCGCAAAACTAGCTACAACTTAGTCAACGTTGCAACAAAGGCGTGGACTAAAGAAACAGCGAGGCCCAGCAGCAGCAGCAGCAGCAGCAGCAACTGCAGCTTGTTTGATGCAGTCTCCATCACGCAAACGATGGCACCCTGCCCGCCCGGGAGTGAATACGGGACTTCTCTGATGTCCAAGTTTCCCGGCAAGTTGAGAAACGAAGAGACTTCGGACGGGCGTCTGTGACCGTTGGATTATCATAGATGATCGTACACGGCCGTCGTACCTGTGGCTGCGTGGTTTATTTCCCCGGGGAGCTCCTTCAATGGCACACGCAATTTCTCTGGATGGTGACCTATCAGCCCGCTACCGCCGCTACCGCCGCTACCGCAGTCAATCTTCACGCCCCGCGGCTCGCCGCAGCAGGTGGCAGCGGCCCCAGGCCCCGTCTTGTCCTGCGGCGGCAGGTTTAGAATTTGATGCCGTACAAACCGCCAGACTTCCTCCATGAAATCCAGACCGTACGCCACGCGACCCATGCCGTACATGACGGTGGGCGCAAGCACATGCTCGAAGAGCCACAGACTGGGCGCGCCAAAGCTCCAGATGAATCCGTACAGGCTAACGTGGTCGTACTGCTCGTACACCAACGGCTTGCCGGTTTCGGGGCAAGGGCGGAACTTGAGCAACACGATGGTGGGTAAAACTGCCTCCGGCACTGGCAAGGGCCAACCCCTGGGAACTACGTGCTGGTCTAGCCAAACTGCTGCAGATGTACAAACCTCTGGCGGCGGCTCCGCCGGCGCCGGCGCCGCGCTGTGTGTCGTCTTCGCGCCAGCGGCGGCTGCGCCGTACTGATGCCGATGCTGCGTGCCGCGATGCGGGTTTCGGAGCTGAGTATCAATAATGGTTTCCCGAATTACGGGGCGCGATCGAAAGCCGAAGGTGTAGGCGCGGTACACGCGGTACATATCGAGCGCGGAAGCGGCACGGGTGAGGTAGTGGTACAGTACGGCACCCGGGGCGTAGTGGCGGGCCACCGTAGCGCGCAGCTGGGCGGGGTCCTGTAGCATGAGAGCAACAAACGGCAGCCGGTAGTAAGTCGGTTGCAGGTCAGTTGCGGGTCGAAATGGAATATTAGGGTTTGGATTCGGGCGATGCTTGGGGTTTGGGACGGAGAAGAGTTTGCTGCTTATCGCTCAACTACGGTCCCGCCGAATCGGCCGACGGTGACGACAAACGCATACAGACTAACAATGCAAGAAGCTTACTGAAATCCAACTTCAATCCATCCTCCGACGGCGTTCGGTGTCCGTGCGCGCGGTCTCACGGTGCTGGCTAACCTCAACAACGCCTCGGAGCGCATCTTGTCTGTGCAGAGCAAGCCGCGTTTCCACTACGAAAAGGTTTACCGGTGACGCGTGACTTTTTCTTTTTTCCTGACTTCTAGTAATGATTAAGACGTCGCTAGCTAAGGTCAAAGATGTTTTGAATAAGCCTCCGCAAAGTACGCGGTGGTTGGCCAGTCATATTATTATACATAACATTCCAAATCAAGGAGAGGTTGTGGCGAATAGCAGGCGGACGTTGAGGCGCCTTTGCATGAACTGGTCATGGATACTGAAACCGGTAACAGGCCTGGCCCGGGTTGGCCTAGCCGTTGCTCACCTGACTCAGCATTCCGCATACCAGGCTACGGATAAGATCCTCGTCAGGATAGGAGGCTGCCGCTGAGAGGACCCCTGCTGTGGGGACCCCAGTCGCGGTTGCCGCCGCCATGACGTATCCCCCTCTAAAAACGCTGCTGCTGGGGCTGGCCTAGAGCTGCCTGCCTGCGCGGCAACTCTTGGTGCTTCTGTACCTCGCCTATCTGCTGTTTGCCTGTCTGGCGCGCTGGCGATGCATC